GGGATCGACCGGAAACTCGACGCGAGGGAAAGAGTTCTGGCGGAGGATGAGTCATCCCGCCTTTGTCCCACGGCGTTAGAACGCGAGAGACGACTTTTCGACGACAGACGCGTCGCGCGTTTCGCGTTGTTCGAGGGGACAGGCTTAATCCGGCCCGATTAATTTCAGATGGGAACGCGGCGGGGAGGATGTCGGGTTGTTCGAGTTGTCCGTTAGCTTCTCTGTTCCGAATCCTGCGTCTGAAGGAGGCGGTTGCGCCCGAAACTGCGAAGAGATCAAGGGAAACGGTTGTTCTTAATGGAGAGGGCAACGGGGAAAGGGAGCAGTTTGGCGGTGGGTCGGAAAAGAGTCTGATAATGGATTCTCAGGCCACCCAACCGATACAGATGCCCCGGCGTCGAGAGCCCGATCTATTTGAAGAGATCGGTGACTAGACGCGGTCCTCGAAACACCCGGGAACCTTCCACATAATGGAGACCCTTTACTTTCTCGTTAAACGCTGCCTCGATGGGAGTTCGAGGTTATCCCTTCTACCGTGGGGTGATCCGAAGGTGATGAGAAATGAGACGTTATCGGTGAACTCTGGGAACGTTACAGATTTCACCATTAAGACTGGATATTGGAGTAATTTCCAATTGTACGGCCAACTAAGTTGCTCTCTTCTAACGCTGAAGCTCAGTCGTAACGATACTCGACTCATTCTATCGTTCCAAGCCGTAACCAGAAGCTACTACTGAATCAACCCTTTGCGCTCGAGAATTTGCCACCGGAAATTGAACATCAAACTCTATGACTTTGTTCAAGTCAACCGGTGGCTGAGAGTCGCTTCCCGAGTGCAAGGGGTTAACGATAATCCAATTCTGCAAATTTAAATACCGTCTCCGCGCTCAGAAGTCGCCGCAGCGCCGTAAGAGATCTACAGGCCCAGTCGATCGACCTGATCCACTTCCAGGAATATTCCCCTGGGTCATCGGCGATATTCGACCGCAACGATTCGCGGTTCACGGGCCGGACAAACTGGCGGTGCCAACTTGGCGTGAACGCGTTCCTCTGTCCGCGGCTGTGAATGAAAATAAAGAAGGGATTAACCCCGGGACGCACTCGAGAAACCCGTGCAATCCAATTAAACGGAATTCGAACTAAAAGCATTGTACCCGCCAGGCCGGGCCTCGGCTCGGCCTCGTATCGGGCTTTTGCGCGAAGGTCGCCTGGTCACGGCACCGATTCTAGGACGCATTGTTCGGCGGTGTTCCGTTCAAAGCGGCCGGCTTCTTTATCGCGCCGCGTGCGAACCGAGTTTGGGGGAGTTGGCGAGTCTGTCGATTGATTTCCCGCGCCTATTAAAACGCCACGGGACCGGATGCACGCCAGGCGCCGCTATCTTCAGACCGCGGGAACCGCCGGCGACGCCCCGGACTATCGAGAAACGGTGTCCTCGAACTATCGGGTCCGCGGCGGCCGTCCCATCGATCCGCGGAATAGTTTGCGGGACGCGGGATTGATTGATGGCATCGGCTAATACGAACTCAATCTCGGGGAAATTGTGCTCCGGTAGCTGGAGCTTTTCTATCGGGATGTGTCCGCCGGCCAATAGCATCGATGCGATCGATAATCCGGTATCCGAGCACCGGCACTCAGTTTTAAGGAATTTTTTCTGAGGCCAACGGAGGATTTTGTTGGGTGAGAAATTCGTGGATCTTATATAGTTCGCTTTTGAATGTAATGTCGCCTCATTCTTGAGAGAATATTCG